ACATTGTTATCAGACATTGCTCTTTGACCATATTGGTTACATAAAAGACCTGACATAGAGAACTGGCAATATCATTCGCACTTGCTGACTACGTTTTGTATAGACTGTTACATATGATCACCTCTCTTTTAAAGTAATTGTCACTTTCACAAAAAAAATTGCTTTTTGCATTTCCTACTTTTAATAATCTAAAGCTACAGTGGGGGAAAAAAGTATTTAGTCAGCCACCAATTGTGCAAGTTCTCCCACTTAAAAAGATGAGAGAGGCCTGTAATTTTCATCATAGGTACACGTCAACTATGACAGACAAATTGAGGGGAAAAAATCAAGAAAATCACATTGTAGGATTTTTAATGAATTTATTTGCAAATTATGGTGGAAAATAAGTATTTTGTCACCTACAAACAAGCAAGGTTTCTGGCTCTCACAGACCTGTAACTTCTTCTTTAAGAGGCTCCTCTGTCCTCCACTCATTACCTGTATTAATGGCACCTGTTTGAACTTGTTATCAGTATAAAAGACACCTGTCCACAACCTCAAACAGTCACACTCCAAACTCCACTATGGCCAAGACCAAAGAGCTGTCAAAGGACACCAGAAACAAAATTGTAGACCTGCACCAGGCTGGGAAGACTGAATCTGCAATAGGTAAGCAGCTTGGTTTGAAGAAATCAACTGTGGGAGCAATTATTAGGAAATGGAAGACATACAAGACCACTGATAATCTCCCTCGATCTGGGTCTCCACGCAAGATCTCACCCCGTGGGGTCAAAATGATCACAAGAACGGTGAGCAAAAATCCCAGAACCACACGGGGGGACCTAGTGAATGACCTGCAGAGAGCTGGGACCAAAGTAACAAAGCCTACCATCAGTAACACACTACGCCGCCAGGGACTCAAATTCTGCAGTGCCAGACGTGTCCCCCTGCTTAAGCCAGTACATGTCCAGGCCCGTCTGAAGTTTGCTAGAGTGCATTTGGATGATCCAGAAGAGGATTGGGAGAATGTCATATGGTCAGATGAAACCAAAATAGGACTTTTTGGTAAAAACTCAACTCGTCGTGTTTGGAGGACAAAGAATGCTGAGTTGCATCCAAAGAACACCATACCTACTGTGAAGCATGGGGGTGGAAACATCATGCTTTGGGGCTGTTTTTCTGCAAAGGGACCAGGACGACTGATCCGTGTAAAGGAAAGAATGAATGGGGCCATGTATCGTGAGATTTTGAGTGAAAACCTCCTTCCATCAGCAAGGGCATTGAAGATGAAACGTGGCTGGGTCTTTCAGCATGACAATAATCCCAAACACACCGCCTGGGCAACGAAGGAGTGGCTTCGTAAGAAGCATTTCAAGGTCCTGGAGTGGCCTAGCCAGTCTCCAGATCTCAACCCCATAGAAAATCTTTGGAGGGAGTTGAAAGTCCGTGTTGCCCAGCGACAGCCCCAAAACATCACTGCTCTAGAGGAGATCTGCATGGAGGAATGGGCCAAAATACCAGCATCAGTGTGTGAAAACCTTGTGAAGACTTACAGAAAACGTTTGACTTGTGTCATTGCCAACAAAGGGTATATAACAAAGTATTGAGAAACTTTTGTTATTGACCAAATACTTATTTTCCACCATAATTTGCAAATAAATTCATTAAAAATCCTACAATGTGATTTTCTGGATTTTTTTTCCTCATTTTGTCTGTCATAGTTGATGTGTACCTATGATGAAAATTACAGGCCTCTCTCATCTTTTTAAGTGGGAGAACTTGCACAATTGGTGGCTGACTAAATACTTTTTTCCCCACTGTATATTGTTAGAAAACTCTTCTTCTGCGTCCAGGAATGGCAATGAGTGGATTGTTGGTGTGCGCCCTCATGGCAGCGCTAGTGGGGGTTGGTTTGACATCGCCCGTATCCAAGTCGGATGACAACACCAAACAGGGTGGGATACTGCCACAGCTACTGGCCAGGAGGGAGGCAGTGAGGAATGCTGTGGAGAACGTCGCTAGGCGGGAGCAAGACACTCATTCTGTTTGGTTCATATAAGTTTGTATTGTTCGCAGAGATGATGAACGAGTGTTAGGACCGGGACTACCAAGGATGGGTAGACTTTGGACGGCGGAGTGCAGAGTAGAGACGTACCACTAGCCAACTGAGGAACGTCTGCCTGCACTGGCGTTACTCAGGAATCCATCCCTATTTGAAATATATTGTATATAATCATTGGCTTACATAATGACTTTTAATCCAAGTGTCATAATAAATATGTTTGCAGTATATACGTCTACAGTGCATTTCTTGATTTCATTTAGGACATGGGCCGGTTTCCACTAAGGACATGCGCCAGTTTCCCGGACACAAAATCTACATTGAGTGTTAATTTTAGTTTAGGACAAGGCTTAATGTGTCCAGGAAACCGGCCCTTCGAGTAGAAAAATAACACACATGCACGTGTGTCTGATGGAAATAAAATGTACTTTTTAATTTACAGGTGGTACAATTTATAAACACATACAACTCAGTGATTATAACAAATAATTCAGCAAAGAGTAGTCCATTTCAACATCTGAAATATATGCATTGCTGTTTGTTTCATTTTCTTCCGACTATAAATTGTCATAATTTGCTATAATTTTCCCCTTTTGATCTGCAGTATCCTACGCCTTTTATATACAATTGATTGTCCAGACAGCCGAAAGAGCATCCCAAAAAAAAACATGCAGTCCATGATCATTTGGTTTTTGTACCTTTCTTGTCTCGGGTGACACCTTGCTTGCATCTTTTTGTTTCTTCATAAGGTATCCCACTCAGTACAATCACTTTGGAGGAATTCACTTTGAATGCACAACTTCATTTTTTCATACAGCACACTTTCATTATTCCTGATGACATGAATAGCATTTGTACCAACAATACTTTAGTTTAAGGTCTGTTAACACAGACCCAGCACATAGACTAGTGTCGAGACCTTTTACTGTCCCCTTCTGTTGTCTTTGATACAACATGGTAGACTGCCTGAATGCTTTTGGTGAGGTTAGACTAAATGCACAAGTTTACAATGACTGACATAATTGACAGCATTTCGAAGTAAAGCATTTTACAATGACTTGCAGCAGGGGATGTGTGATGCCATACAAACGCACAGTACTGCTAGTGCTAAATGAGGACATTTGGGAAAGAGCAGAGTAGTATACCTCAGTGAATGTCAATAATGTCACAAACTTTCAGTGAGTTCAGTCAGTGTATCAGTCTCTCCACCATTCTGTAATGGGGAGTGATTGAAGTACTTATGGTTTTACCACAGTAAAGTGAATGTGGTTAATACCCACAAATGCTTCATTTTCTAATAGCAGCTATATATTGCAAAAGGACATACTGAATTCCAGTGCATCTTGTTTTTTTTGTGTGTGACAAACTAACTGCTGTGGTCAGTTTGGTGGTTCTTAAAAAACGATACCTTGAATCTTTCCCAACATAATGAAAAGGTAATGTGATTGTATTTGAAGGTAAAAAATTATTTATATTTGAAAACATATGGTGGGGTTCTTTCTAAAAAAAAGAAACACCACGAGAAGCACCATTCCCTTACTTTCATACCGTGTAAAACCATCGACACGCACGAAACACAGGTAGAAAAAAGCAACCCATGTTTCTCATCTTTTTATTTGATTAAAAAACAAAAACCCGCAAGTGTTCAAGCCAGCCGGAGCGGTGATCAGGTGATTCTCCTGAGAATGATCATGATGTCACACATTGTCGTGGAGACCTAGTATCTACAATACATGAGTCCATTACAAAAAGAAGAGTGACTGTACACGTAACATAAACTCAAAATATGGCTCTATGGTTCTTCCGAGGCTCCATTTTACAATGTATTGCTGTGGGCCTGAAACACAAAATGGCGGTACAGTGGCATAGCCAGCATGTGGATTGAAGTCAATGACGATTGAGGAGGAACGGGAGAAGGAGGGGGGAGGGAGTTCTTCCAGTTGTTCTCAGACTCTAGGTGGATGTCTGTATTGCCTGACTGCTTCTCTCTCCTCTAAGTTCTCTCTGTTTGTTCAAGGCTCTAGCGTGGGGGTATGATCAATAGATTTACTTAGGGGTTGGGTGGGGTCAGAGTTAGAAGGGGAGTGGTTTAGAAAAGTTAGGGGATAAATATATACATTCGCAATCTGTCCATGCCTGTTGGCTCTTACTTTGCCTACTTTAGAGCTGAAGAAAGTGCTTGGACCAGCCTTTCTTACCACTGAGGAGAGAGGGATTGAGTGAGGGAGGAGAGAGAAGGACTACAAAGTAGCAAGGTACTTTTGAGGAGAAAAATGGGGCGGCACAGCAAAGCTGTAGTCATATTGTAAATACCTTTTCACGTTACTACTAATGACTAATTACTAATATTGGTCTTTCGTTTAATGAATGAATGAATGAGTTAAGGATTGAATGAATACCAAAAGGCAAATTACTGAAAAATAAATGGATTCCACTTTATTTTACAGTCCACTACCTGGGGATAAAAGGCAGAATCTACCGCACACCCAAAACCGATTAGTGATGGTGCTGGAGGCTAAATGGAAAACTGGAGAAACAGGGAAAAGTCTCTGCACACTTCCTTTCAGATGCAAATGTCAGTGAAATGAATCCAAAGCAACATAAGTAATTACCAGGTAGTGGACTGTTGAAGGTCGACTGACCAAAACCTCAGCTACTATTAAAACACCATTGCACACGATTTAGTACCAGGTAGTTACCTATTATTTCGACATCTTTGACGAAACTTCCAGGAAGTATTCATTGCCACCATATATACGTTCTTAGTAAATACCAGACAAACTTTTTGCACTTGACTGTATGCTGCTCTCTAGGCCAGGTCTCCCTCGAAAAAAATATATGAACAAATATAGATTTAAATAAAGCATACATAAAATAAAATGTGAAACCGGACTGTAAAAACTGACAGTCGAGTTACCGCACACCTAATATCTCAGATAATACACACAGGGTCTCCCCCTCACTCCTCACCTTCCAGGGGCTTGACAATCTGCAGGCGATCGGGTAGGTTGGAGCGTAAGCCCCCCGATCCGGCTGAGGAGTGCAGCCAGCTGCCATTGGAGTAGATGGTGCCTGTCGAAGCCACCGAGCTGGACACCAGGCTGTCCCCTCAAAGAAGGGGAGCCTTGAGGCATGGCTCTGTTGGCGGTCAGATAAACAGTGGAGTGCGGCTTTTAGGTCCTGGCCTCCAGGTATGCCCAGACGCTTAGGGCCACTAACACTGAGATCAGAGAGAGATAAAGGAAGGTTAGTGATATACTATACATTGTTGATGCACTAACACTCAGAGTAGAGGTAGAATAGGTTTTGAATACAAATGCACTGCTGTTATTAGTAGACATAGACCAGAGAAATAGAAGCTGTATGTTTGAACATGTACGAGTGACAGAAGTCCATTAATATACTAATATTTCACTGTTTGTCTACGCCTGTTGTCTGCAAAGCATGTGACAAATACAATTGGATTTTATTTAATTTGAAAAGGAAATACTCTGTGTATCTGTCTGTGTAGATTCTGTATGAGAGTTAATGTAATTCACACATATACACTGTTGCCAGTCTCACCTGTTGTCCCACCTATACACCTCTGCCAGCCTCGATATGGCACTAGGTGGTTTGTCCTCCAAGGTGAGGCTGGTGCTGTCTGAGCCGTAGTAGCTGGTACGGGGGGTGGAGGCGCGGCTGGAGTGCAGCGACATGGGGCTGGAGCCGGGTACCTGGCCGGGGGAGTGGCACCGCGACCGCAGCCTCGACGCTTGGTTCACCACCTTCACCGTCTCAAACACGCTCCACGGGTGGTTCCTTTGGCAACCATAGATAAACCATATAGATTAGTGGTGGTGATGAAGTGCCCGTTAATAAGTCTAACATGTATATGTTTATGTCAGTGTATTTGTGCTTGAATATTAGATTTTAAACATTGTATTTGACATATTCTATATTTTGGATCAATAGATGTGCTTGTTATGTCATGCGGTTTTTGTTCAATCAAACGTAATTGGTAACATTTCACCTTTGGCACATAACTGACATACCGGTATTGTCATTCGACTGAGCTTAACAGGTTGGAAAAAGCACATTGTCAACGGTGTTTCATGCTTTCACATTGACATCATCACTCACTTGTACTTGGAGGGGGCAGGGACGTCCAAGCCCTTGCGGAAGGTGCCCTCTATCTCTGCTGCCAGGGAGTCACCGCCACCTCCAGTCCCATCAATGTGGATAGGGGGGTGCAACCAGGGACGGCTTGTTCAATAGGGCGATATGGGCGACGCACTGCCAAACGGGAAAAGGAAGGGATTTTTTTTCTAATCAATTATTTAAAAAAAAAAAAAAAAAAAAAAAATATTTTTTTTTTATACATTTATAAAAAATTATATCACGGCAACAGCAGTTATCAGTGTTCACGTCTGATCTGCCAGCCACTAAATGTCAAATCAGGCTAAAGTCGTGCTTCAAATGGCCCCGCCCGTTTTTTGGGCGATTTCAGTCAGGTTGAAAATCGCCCAGAAGTCTGTCATAGACTCCCATGTAAAATCTAGTTTTGTCACATTTCAAAGCTTTCAATACATTCTCTATGGGTGTCTGTGGGCTTGCACTTACGCGCTTTCGTCATACATAACGTAACCACGAATGAACGTAACTAAGAAAAGACCAGGTAGCAGCCTCATTCAATTCACTACTACTATCAAAATGGCTAGGCTTCAGTCCAACTCGATTGTGTCTTTGAAAGAAGTTCCTTTTTGTCGGCGAACAAATGAAGATAAATTGGCAACGAAACAATTAGGACCCCCCAGACCAAATTTAATAATTCAACAGGTGTCTACTAAAGGGGGGAAGTCCTACACCCGAGGATTTTCCAAAAATTGGTATGAACGGAAAACCTGGCTAGCAGGCTGCGATGTAGCTAATGCAGTTTTTTGCTACCCCTGCTTACTCTTCCACCCTGAAGGCGGCACAGCAGACAGCACCGCTTGGACAGCGACTGGTGTAACCGACATGCACCATCTTTCAGAAAAGATTAAGAAAAATTAGCTGTCAAAGACCCACATATAGCTGTTTGAGATTGTCTGCTTTTGGGAGAGTGAATATTGCCACTCAACTGGATGAGGGATACAGGCTAGCTGTCCGCCGCCACAACGATGAGGTTAGCAACAGCAGAGTCGTGAACACTGTCTACGAGAATCGAGACGACCTCATATAATGTTTTGAAGCCATCCGGACGGGTTCATTGGGTTCATTTGACCAGCACACCTTGAGAGAGGCAGCTGGCTACGTGAGGATACTACATGATGAAGATTTAATTTTTTTCCTGCGGCTTTTTCACAAAATCATGCCCCACGTCGACATTCTGTACCAGAAGCTACAGAAGAAGGACATCGATGCTGTCTCTATCAAACGTGCCCTCGACAGCTTCACAAGCAAGTGCAGGCCATAAGGTAAGATTAAACAGATATCAAAAAATGTGGTAAAAGCTCTTGTTGATCCTGCAATCTGAACAAATACCAAGATGCTGTATTTTCAGCTGATATTTCATTTGTTTATGGAAATGCATATTGTTTATGCAGTGTTGAGGAATGTGAAAGAACACCCTTGATTATTTTTACTGTGATAACTTATTTTGCTTTTGTAAGCCAACACTTTTGAGATCAGTCAATAAATGCTTCTGGTATTGACTTATATGCTGCCCCTGTCTTCATGTTGTTGCTGGACATATCTTTTTAAAAATGTGTGTAGGTCACCTAAATCATCAGAAAAATTGCCCTCCCTGAGAATTTGTTCAGGAGCCGCCACTGGGTGCAACGCCCAGCCAACACCGCCCCCAAAAACAAAGGAGATGATCGTGGACTTCAGGAAACAGCAGAGGGTGCACCCCCCTATCCACATCGACGGGACCGCAGTGGAGAAGGTGGAAAACTTCAAGTTCCTTGGCATACACATCACTGACAAACTGAAATGGTCCACCCACGCAGACAGTGTGGTGAAGAAGGCACAACAGAGCCTCTCCATCCTCAGGAGGCTGAAGAAATTTGGCTTGGCACCTAAAACCCTCACAAACTTTTACAGATGCACAATTGAGAGCATCCTGTCGGGCTGTATCACCTCTTGGTACGACAACTGCACCACCCGCAACCTCAGGGCTCTCCAGAGGGTGGTGCGGTCTGCCGAACACATTACCGGGGGCAAACTACCCGCCCTCCAGGACACCTACAGCACCCGATGTCACAGGAAGGCCAAAAAGATCATCAAGGACATTAACCACCCAAGTCACTGCCTGTTCAACCCGCTATCATCCAGAAGGCGAGGTCAATACAGGTGCATCAAAGCTGGGACCGAGAGAATGAAAAACAGCTTCTATCTCAAGGCCATCAGACTGTTAAATAGCCCTCACTAGCACATTAGAGGCTGCTGCTGCCTATTGAAATCACTGGCCACTTTAAGAAATGGAACACTAGTCACTTTAATAATGTTTACATATCTTGCATTACTCATCTCATATGTATATACTGTATTCTATAATAGTCTACTGTTTCTTAGTCCATGCCGCTATGTCATTGAAAATACTATTGAATTCCATTCCATTTGTGTGTATTGGGTATATGTTGTGAAATTGTTAGATATTACTTGATAGATATTATTGCACTGTCGGATCTAGAAGCACAAGCATTTCGCTACACCCGCAATAACATCTGCTAAACACGTGTATGTGAAATTTTTTTTTAGACTTGATTTGATTTGATTTAGCGCTACACCGTGCTGTTGGGCAGGCTCTTTTTGCGCAGGTTCTTAATGTCCTCTCTGGCCTCCCGTAGCATGTCCTCGCACTCTGAGTACTTGTCTTGCAGGTAGTTTATTTGCAGCCAGGGAGTGCCAGAGGTCAGTTAAATACACACTGCTACCGAGGTTACGTACAAGCTTGCCTTGAGGGACATATCTAGGATCAGCTCAGCCTCCTCAAATCCTTGCCTTAAAAATAAGGGGGGAAATCCAAAAACCGACCTTAGATCAGTGTTAAGAGCAACTTTATCCTACTTGTTATTGATAGCTCATTGGAGGGTAATGAGTTGTGGATAGTGGGGAAAGTGTAAGGTGGGTCTTATCTCTGATTTGAGCTGTGATTGGCTCTCCCGCAAGGCACTCAGGTGCTGGGTCAGCTCTTTGTTGTCAGTGGTGAGTGGAGAGTTAATACCATGATCGTATCAGTGATACTGTATACCAACTTGATACTCTACACTGCCTTGCAAAAGTATTCATCCCCCTTGGCGTTTTTTCCTATTTTGTTGCATTTCAATCTACAAATTAAATGGATTTTTATTGGGATTTCATGTAATGGACATACAGTTGAAGTCGGAAGTTTACATACACCTTAGCCAAATACATTTAAACTCAGTTTTTCACAATTCCTGACATTTAATCCTAGTAAAAATTGCCTGTCTTAGGTCAGTTAGGATCACCACTTTATTTTAAGAATGTGAAATGGCAGAATAATAGTAGAGAGAATGATTTATTTCAGCTTTTATTTCTTTCATCACATTACCAGTGGGTCAGAAGGTTACATAAACTCAATTAGTATTTGCTAGCATTGCCTTTAAATTGTTTAACTTGAGTAAATCGTTTCAGGTAGCCTTCCACAAGCTTCCCACAATAAGTTGGGTGAATTTTGGCACATTCCTCCTGACAGAGCTGGTGTAACTGAGTCAGGTTTGTAGGCCTCCTTGCTCGCACATGCTTTTTCAGTTCTGCCCACAAATGTTCTATAGGATTGAGGTCAGGGCTTTGTGATGGCCACTCCAATACCATGACTGTGTTGTCCTTAAGCCATTTTGCCACAACTTGGGAAGTATGCTTGGGGTCATTGTCCATTTGGAAGATCCATTTGCGACCAAGCTTTAACTTCCTGAATGATGTCTTGAGATGTTGCTTCAATATATCCACATAATTTTCCTTCCTCATGATGCCATCTATTTTGTGAAGTGCACCAGTACCTCCTGTAGCAAAGCACCCCCACAGCATGATGCTGCCACCCCCGTGCTTCACGTTTGGGATGGTGTTCTTTGGCTTGCAAGCCACCACCTTTTTCCTCCAAACATAGCGATGGTCATTATGGCCAAACAGTTCTATTTTGGTTTCATCAGACCAGAGGACATTTCTCCAAAAAGTATGTCGATATAGGGCTCGTTTTACTGTGGATATAGATACTTTTGTACCTGTTTCCTCCAGCATCTTCACAAGGTCCTTTGCTGTTGTTCTAGGATTGATTTGCACCAAAGTACGTTAATCTCTAGGAGACAGAACGCGTCTCCTTCCTGAGCGGTATGACAGCTGCGTGGTCCCATGGTGTTTATACTTGCGTACTATTGTTTGTACAGATGAACGTGGTACCTTCAGGTGTTTGGAAATTGCTCCCAAGGTTGAACCAGACTTGTGGAGGTCTACAATTTTTAGACTGAGGTCTTGACTGATTTCTTTTGATTTTCTCATGATGTCAAGCAAAGAGGCACTGACTTTGAAGGTAGGCCTTGAAATACATCCACAGGTACACCTCCAATTGACTAACATGATGTCAATTAGCCTATCAGAAGCTTCTAAAGCCATGACATCATTTTCTGGAATTTCCCAATCTGTTTAAAGGCACAGTCAACTTAGTGTATGTAAACTTCTGACCCACTGGAATTGTGATACAGTGAATTATAAGTGAAATAATCTGTCTGTAAACAATTGTTGAAAAAATATTGTGTCATGCACAAAGTAGATGTCCTAACCGACTTGCCAAAACTATAGTTTGTTAACAAAAAATGTGTGGAGTGGTTGAAAAACAAGTTTTAATGACTCCAACCTAACTGTATGTAAACTTCCGACTTCAACTGTAGTTTCCGTCCTCCTTTGGGTACGTTGACTTCAATACAAAACCTAGGAGGCTCGTGGTTTTCACCCCTTTCCATAGACTTATACAGTAATCATGACAACTTCCAGAGGATTTCCTCTAACCTATCAGAGATCTTGCAGCATGAACTGAAATGTTGTCCACCGAATCAAAGGATCAGAGAATGAATCTAGTACTGAAAGCATTAGCAACAGCTAGCTAGCACTGCTTTCTTCAAAATGAGAGGGAGAGAGATGTATTTCGTTGTATTTTTTGTTGTAAATTCGAGCATCATGTAGAACCCTAAACCTATCGTTGTTACATTGAACTTGGTGAATGGAATATGAATGACAGTCATCCAATATGCTGTAATAGAAATAAGGCCATGCTCATTAAAAATATTGTTGTCCTCCCTCATCTTAAACGGCACGACCGCCACTGCTGTAAAGATGTTTCTTTCAGCTTTTTAGAGGACAACAACACACCCACAATTATGATATCAGTGTCCTGAAATGCATTGACATCTAGATTTTATCAACAGCCAAATGTATCATCCAGCGTCGGTGTCGTAGACCTACAGAACATGAATTTAAACCCGTCATAGAGTACAGAGAACGTACATTGCTTGTGATCCTGGGAGTTTACAATGGAGCTAAAATAGCTTTATAATGGCTGATGATGCAAGTAATATTTTCCCTGATGTCACTTATGTAACTGTAATAATCTGTTTCCACTTTTAATTGGGCTGGCCAAAGATGTTTAAATGAGAGAAATGCCACTTGGTGGCAACGAATGGAACAACAGGAAAAACACATTCTAACGCCTGAAGGTGCTACGTTCATCTGTACAAACAATAGTACGCAAGTATAAACACCATGGGACCATGCAGCCGTCATACCACTCAGGAAGGAGATGCGTTCTGTCTCCTAGAGATGAACGTACTTTGGTGCGAAAAGTGTAAATCAATCCCAGAACAACAGCAAAGGACCTTGTGAAGATGCTGGAGGAAACAGGTACAAAAGTATCTATATCCACAGTAAAACGAGTCCTATATCGACATAACCTGAAAGGCCGCTCAGCAAGGAAGAAGCCACTGCTCCAAAACCTCCATAAAACAGCCAGACTACGGTTTGCAACTGCACATTGGGACAAAGATCGTACTTTTTGGAGAAATGTCCTCTGGTCTGATGAAACAAAAATAGAACTGTTTGGCCATAATGACCATCGTTATGTTTGGAGGAAAATGATGGTGGCTTGCAAGCCAAAGAAGACCATCCCAACCGTGAAGCACGGGGGTGGCAGCATCATGCAAAATAGATGTCATCATGAGGAAGGACAATTATATGGATATATTGAAGCAACATATCAAGACATCAGTCAGGAAGTTAAAGCTTGGTCGCAAAAAGGTCTTCCAAATGGACAATGACCCCAAGCATACTCCAGTACCTTGACAACAATGTCAAGGTACTGGAGTGGCCATCTCAGAGCCCTGACCTCAATCCTATAGAACATTTGTGGGCAGAACTGAAAAAGTGTGTGCGAGCAAGGAGGCCTACAAACCTGACTCAGTTACACCAGCTCTGTCAGGAGGAATGGTCCAAAATTCACCCAACTTATTGTGGGAAGCTGGGAATGTGATTAAATAAATAAAAGCTGAAATAAATCATACTCTCTACTATTATTTTGACATTTAACATTTTTAAAAAAAAGTGATGATCCTAACTGACCTAAGACAGGGAATTCTTACTAGGATTAAATGTCAGGAATTGTGAAAAACTGAGTTTAAATGTATTTGGCTAAGGTGAATGTAAACTTCTGACTTCAACTTTATTACTCCAATTTGCTCAATCTTCATCCTCCCTCTACTCTCTCTGCTCTTTCCCTTCCCCCATCTCGCTATCTCCCCTTCCCACTCCCTCTACTCTCTCTGCTCTTTCCATTCCCCCATCTCGCTATCCCCCCTTCCCCCTCCCTCTCTTTCCTCCTCTCCATTATCCCCTCTCACCTGAGTCCCTCTCCATCCAGCAGCCTACTGTACTCAGCGATCTCCATCTCCAGCCTCATCTTGATGTCCAGGAGGATCTGGTACTCGGAGGCCTGCTGCTGGATGCTGACGTTGAGCTGCTGCAGCTCCTCCTCCATGCTGTTGATATGAACCTGCAGCTGGCTCAGCTGGGAGCCATAGCGACCGTTTATATCAGTGACGCTCTGCTCCAGGTACCCCTTCTAGGAATGTGTTTATGTTTGTAAGGGATGAAGAAGATGGAGAAGGAAGAAAGGAGAGGGAAGTAGAAATTGATAAACAGGGAGATGAAGAAGCGTAGAGATAGTTAGATTGGTGCGCATAAAGGAGTTAGAACACCTTGACATTAGACCACAGTGGAGGTCTGAAAACATCTAACAAACTTTGATTTTGGAGTGTAATGTTCCTTTAACACCTACAGGAATTCCATATTTTAGGAACAGAGATAGGGTAAAGACAAATGCTATATGTTTAGCGATTCTGATTCACTAAGATGGTTTGACATCATACCTGAGTGAGCAGGCCATGCAGTTCAAATCTCCAGGCTCTGGAAGGTCCTCTTCAGGTCGGTCACCTGAGACTGAGAGGTCTTCACCTCTGTGGTGCTGGTGGTGATCTGGTTCTGAAGCACCTCCACCTGACATACACAAATATACACACATCGTTTTAGTCAAAAGTATAGTACCACTTGTAGTGTCTAAGCAATTTATGACTTTGCTAACGTTTGCCAATGGTATCTTAGAGGATGTTGATTCAGCTTAGGGAAGCATCTGGAGAGCAGTTCTATAGGGGCACCCTAAAACAGAGGAAGTCTGTTGTGTGGAGTCATGGGATTGGTCTGTAGGTGAAACCACCCATATCATGTCGCAGATTATAAATACCATGATTAAAACAAAGGACGGGGAGTAACAACATATTAGATCGGGTCCGTTGTTCTCCAGATGCCTGCAGAAGTCTGTAAATTGACGCTGAAATCTTTTGATATAATAAACCTTTATAATCAAAGTACAGTGTAAGCGGACTCCTTGTTCTCACAGCATAATAGGCATCATTATTTAGTTACTACACACTTCACAAAACACATTTAGGGACCCGGGCCCACACACTTTGAGGACCCCTGTCCTATTTTCAGAGGTTGATTCACCTTGCTCATGTCCACTGAGGAAGCACAGTCCATCTCCACATTCACAGCACCACACTGCTGCGGCCGCATCAACTGCATCTCCTAACAACAGGAAAAGTGGGACAAAACCGCTGGAAAACTGCATCCCACCGGACGAACTGAGACCACTCGAACCGACACCGCTACGGGAGCTGTAGCTATGGCTACTACTGCGACTGGCTACAATGGACATAGCGAGAGATGGTCTGGCGATGCGTCCTGGGAGGTTAAAGTGCATTCTTCCGAGTTTGAGGTGACAGGTAAAATAACCCCCTTTGTGTCCTTGAGCTTCTTATGCAGTTGGATTAAGCATGATTGATTACGTCACAACTGTTCCTTGGAATGAAAGTGTATCTAATTGTTTTGTTCAGTAGGTGGGTACAGGGCTTGCAACAACTATGTAACAAGAGACATCAAGTCACGAAGGACTTCAAGGGAAATTAATGGTTCAGTAAAGGTTGTGGTTTATGAAGGGCAGTGTGTTTGACAAAAAAAAAGACAAATCAGACAGCTAGAGATTCTCTAGAAATTCAGTGGATGTGTTTTGTAAAGCTGACATTCCATGGCTTCAGACATCCATTTTCAATTACATTTTGGTTTGTTTACTGAAATTGGCAATGTTTTTAATATATTTTAATATATAATTGTCCTGGATTTGTAGGCTTAATATTGTATCTGTTATGTTATTATTTTAACAAACTAAAATGTTGCACCAAGTCACTCGATCACTTACATTTGATGATTTTCTATCATTCTATCCATTTGAAAAGATGGGCAGTAAAAGTCATATTTTTGAAATGTAGATAACCATTATGATCTGTTCATAAATTCAACATATTCAATTGTGTTACTTCGTCTACTTGCTCTCAGATTAGTTGGTTTGGATAGTGTGTTTAATCATTGTCAAAGTTGTGTAGTAGGTATTCTTACTAAAATAGAATGTTGCCCTAAGTCACTTTGATGTTGTCATTCTTTCTTTCTGAATTCAAAGATGTACTGTACAGTAACTATACCCTTATTTGAAATATCAATAAACCTCATAATTCCTCACATTCCATTTTGCCTACTCAGTACTTGCTCTCAGATGTTGGTTTGGATAGTGTGTTTCATTCAAGGGAAAAGTGTATGCAAAACAGCCAGAAAACAGGCTGAATAAATTGAACAGTTTCATTCCAAAATGCTATATATCCATTTTCAGAAATGTTGGTAAATTAGCTTTTATTGTTTTTTCACTATCTAATGAGGTTGTTCAATGACAAACATGTATTTGTTAGTACTGATAGGTTTCACACAGTCCAATTTAACAAATAACTAAAATTATTATAAAGAAATATACAAATGATACATTTGTGACATATTTAAAAATGTTTTACTAATAAATTATTCAGTACAGTAATATGAGATCTGTATGTAGAACGTTTACATTTGACATTTTAGTCATTAGCAGATGCTCTAATCCAGAGCAATTTACAGAAAGCACATTCATTTTAAACTAGCTAGGTGAGACAATCACATCCCAGCTAGCACATAACGTTCTGAGAACCACATGTTTCTTAGAGCTTGGTGAGAGCGTGGTTGTCCTATGGTTAATTGCGTACAACCTTCCCATAACACAGAGATTCCCAAAGATTTTTGGCCCGCGGTCTCATTTTGATATCAAAAAATGTTTGCGACCCCACCATGTAAAAAAAGTGATGTAATCAACGGTCAATGTTTACTTTTTTAATTGGGGGGTATGACAGTCTATGATGTTATTTTCCCCCAAGTCTGATTTAGTGCCTGGTCTTGTCCATTATGTTCTAATGAGGCTTGTGGGCATTGTAGAGGGAAACATAAAACATATATGTTCCTGGGAGTCTTGTCTTTCAGTGATGGGGTCATAATATTTTGTAGCTTAAACAATTAAAAAGATAGTCAAATTTTTTGGAAGAAAACAGAAACCGCTCTGTTTATTACCACCGTATCTGACGTAACCCCAGTTCTATGAACCAAGCACAATCATTTTTATTTATTTCAGAGTTTCTCTCCCTATTTTTTAATCAGGCGACCCAAAGTTTGGGAAATGCTGCCATAACATTTCCTACAGGTTTCCTCATGGTTCTATTTAAAGTCATGTTCTCAAAACATTCAGAGAAAGTTAAGAAACAACGTTCTTCTGTGGGAATTTCAGTACTTCAGCATGACGTTTTCTGCAGGTTTCCTCTTGGTTCTATTTAAAGTAATGTTCTCAGAACATTAAGAAAACTTTCCATGAAATCCACAAGAAAACATGAGTAACGTTCAAAGAATGTTCTAATAATGTTATTTAAAAACAAACAGAATACATTCCATTCTTAGCATCAACAAAACTCTGACTATCCTCTATCTTGTTAAGTGTGTTCAGGTGTGTTGGCCACTTCCACTAATTGGCCACACCTGATCTTAATGAGTGCTTTTTTCCTTTGAAATAGGATCTGTTTGAATAAACTAAAATGAACAGCTTTGTATGAGTAAAAAAACACATGGCATGCTAGCTCCATCCTGGTGCCGCAGTGGACTAATTCCATGGATAGACCAGAAGATCATAGGTTCGAATCTTACAGACGCCATGCCACAATAAAAAATTAATGGGTTTGCATGATTACTGACTAGATAAATTCATTTATATCTGTGCTTGGAGTTCACAACAACTAAACTAGCAGTGTTATTTTAAAGTCTTTTTTAAACATGTTCTCAGAACATTATTTAATTACCTCCCAGGAAAACATTCAGGGAACCATAGTAAAACATTATCTGAACCTATTTGCAACTTAAAAGTGTATTTTCCCAGAATAGGAGAATATTTCACTTTCGTTAAAAAGCTTTAACGGTCAGGAAACGTACGGCTTCGTTCCCAGAACCAGTGGGAAACCAAAAACGTACGTTCCCACAACTTCCAAGGAAACACATGTGCTAGCTGGGATATCACAGTCAAATATACAGGAGAGGAACATTATATTTCAGCTAAACAATGGATTTATAGCATTATGCATCAAAAAAATGTCATTCTTCTAAAATCTAGGAATAAAAAATCTGAGAACAGTAATATTTTACAAACACATGAAGGTACCCATAAGCAATCATTTCTGATGAAATAAAAAGTTGTGAAAAATATGTGGATATATCGTTTTGGAAATAAACCTTTCAAATACTTCTCCATGATTAAATCAAATGATGTCTACTGATGGACAGATGGACCTTTACTTTCCTACATACTGAGGCTGGATTTCAGTCAAACCTGTATGTTTACACGCTCTCTTTGTTTAGTAAGAACTGTCCAAGCTCACACACTAATTCTGAAAAGCATCAACCTGTTAGAGGAGTCTGTATTTTGATTTTTACAGTAGTGAAAACCATTCTATGATTTTATTTGATCATGGGGAAAATGAGCTGCTGTGCAAGCACTGCAAGGCAGGTTAGACTGAATTGAGCCATGTAATGATGATGAACGAGTCCTACCTTGTCAGCGCATGAACAGACATATCCCCAGGCCATTTCACCTGAACAAAAATCATTAGTGATGAATAGCACACAGATACAGTGCCTTCAGAAAGTATTCATACCCCTTGACTTATTCCACATTTTGTTGTGTTACAGCCATTCAATATGGAATACAAATAATTATAACAGCACCCAAATACACCAAATACCCCGTAATGACAAAGTGAAAACTTATTTTTGCACATTTATTGAAAATGAAATACAGAAATATTACATTTACATAAGTATTCATGCCCCTGAGTCAATGCATGTTGGAAGCACCTTTGGCAGCGATTACAGCTGTGAGTCTTTCTGGATAAGTCTCTAAGAGCTGTACACACCTGGATTGTACAATATTTGCACATTATTCTTTATAAAATTCTTCAAGCTCTGTCAAGTTGGTTGTTGATCATTGCTAGACAGCCATTTTCAAGTCTTGCCATAGATTTTCAAGACGATTTAAGTCAAAACTGTAACTACGTCACTCAGGAACATTCAATGTTGTCTTAGTAAAAAACTACAGTGTATATTTGGCCTTGTGTTTTAGGTTATTGTCCTGCTGAAAGGTGAATTTGTCTCCCAGTGTCTGTTGGAAAGCAGACTGAACCAGCTTTTACTCTAGGATTTTGCCTGTGCTTATCTTTATTCAGTTTATTTTTATAAAGAAAAAACTCCCTAATCCTTGCCGATGACAAGCATACCCATAACATGATGCAGCCTCCACCATGCTTGAAAATGTGTAGAGTGGTACTCAGTGATGTATTGTTTTGGATTTGCCCCAAACATAACGCTTCGTATACAGGACATGAAGTTAATTTCTTTGCCACATTTTTTGCAGTTTTATTTTAGTGCCTTATTGCAAACAGGATGCATGTTTTGGAATATTTGTATTCTGTACAGGCTTCCTTCTTTTCACTCTGTCATTTAGGTTAGTATTGTGGAGTAGCTACAATGTTGTTGATCCATTCTCAGTTTTTTCCTATCACAAGCACTAAACTCTGTAACTCTTTTAAAGTCACCATTGGCCTCATGGTGAAATCCCTGCGCAGTTTCTTTCCTGAGTTAGGAAGGACACCTGTATCTTTGTAGTGACTGGGTGTATTGATACACCACCCAAAGTGTAATTAATAACGTCACAATGCTCAAAGGGATTTCAACGTCTGCTTTTATTTAGTTTTTACCCATCTACCAATAGGTGCCTTTCTATGCGAGGCATTGGAAAACCTGCCTGGTCTCTGTGGTTGAATCTGTGTTTGAAATTCACTGCTCGACTGAGGGACCTTACAAATAATTGTATGTGTGGGGTACAGAGATGAGGTAGTCATTAAAAAATCATTTTAAACACTATTATTGCACACAGAGTGAGTCCATGCAGCTTATAATGTGACTTGTTAAGCTTATTTTTACTCCTGAACTTATTTAGGCTTGCCATAACAAAGGGGTTGAATACTTATTGACTCAATACATTTCAGCTTTTCACTTTTAATGAATTTGTAAAAATGTCTAAAAACATATTTCCACTTTAACGTTATGGGGTACTTTGTGTAGGCCAGTGACACAAAATCGAAATTGTATCAATTTAAAATTCAGGCTGGAACACAACTAAATGTGGAAAAAGTCAAGGGGTATGAATACTTTCTGAAGAATCTGTAAGCAGACATTTTTATTTTTTACCTCAAAGCCACAAAAGTAACGAATCATTAATACACGGTGGACCCACAAGACGACGTGATGAATGATCCACATGCCTCGCTATGTAAACTCATCCCCATCAAGACTTCACTGTCGCAATCCTCAAACCACCACCCATTGAAACCCCAAGGCCCCCCTATTCAGCCAATACACTTGTACATTAAAAAATCACTTAACTTAATGGCCTCTATGTATTTTCTGGTGACGCAAAAGGTTAAAAGGGAGTGTTTGACTTGACTCTTCTTTGGCACTGTGTGATGAGAGGTATTTCCAGGGAATGTCTGGGAAACCAAGACACCATTGTGTGCCTAATCACTTGGCAGGCCTTCTGCTACTTCTACGGTTTTCTTTGTTTCTATTATCACAGGTAGAGATATTTATGTTCTGCCTCGATTAGCGTAAGACGGTAACAAAAGTAAAAGGGTGTGTCCTAATTGTCTTTGGCCTACGTGCAATTCCTTCCAAATGTCAGTTGGAATGCCTGTGTGTCTGGGCTCATATGATAAAGCAGGTATGTAGGGGAGTGGTATACCTCCTTTACTGGAAGTTACACCAGTAAAAAAGAGGGACACAGCACAGACTGGTCCAGCACAATTTGGAGGGCTGGAGGTGGAAGGACACTAACAAAATAGGTGTATTTTGAATCTACGACATCAAGAATCTTACATGCTTTTTTGCTTTAATGATCAGTTTCTCCGTAACTCTCTCTTCCATACCCACATCTCAAAACTGAATGAACAATAACTCGCACGCACCTCAATTACCCCAGTTACCACACACACACACCTCCAATCTTCCTAGGAAAGAGCCGCCCTATGCATTATCATCACCCTTGGAGTGCCAGAAACTGACAGACTGGCTGGCAGTTTTTCTATATAAATGAGTTGATACTTTACATTACTGTGAAGTGCACAATGAAAAGAGACATCAGGTCCATGTTAAACCATTATCTTTTGTTTCTATTTCCATAACAGCATATCACTTTGGCTGTGGTATCCTGACAACAATTACAGTGTATTTTTAAATGTATTTTCTATTGACAAGCTTCATTGACAACAATCTAAATGGATATCATATCTGTATGAATTGGATTAAAAAACGATTTACAGCTTTTAAAGACTATATTATATACAGAAGATACTTCCTTGACTATTTAGAAAATCTATAGGTAAACAACTCTAATGTTGTTTCCAGTCAATGATGCTCTCTTTAGTCCAGATAAGAGTGGAGGATGTACGTCACCACACACTGTCCACTTAACCCTTCCTCATTGGTTGTTTAGGTTACGCCTTAACGATATCTCTGTCATAATCATTTTACAACTAGGTCTATATTAAGATCAACAGTAATGATACGGTGCCGTTGTGTTTCTAAGTGATGGACCACTTGCCACTTATTCCATGGTATTTTCAATGATCGATCCATGGTTTTCGTTGCATTTCAATGCAAGTGGAAGTTAGAGTTGGTGGACCTTGGCCTTGGATACAGGTGTTATGACAGGGTTGTAGACTTCTGTAACAACAACCACTATTGAACGTCTAACTGAGTTTTACTTTATTGTCTCACATTTCCAGGTGAACGATTAGAATATTGATGCGCCCCGCCTGAATGCAGAATGGCACCAAGTATCCATTACGCATGGCGTTTCCATCATTTTCAATCAATCAAGGGATCTATCTTGGACATTGTTATCAGACATTGCTCTGACCATATTGGTTAAATATACATTTGTGTATAAAAGACCTGACATAGAGAACTGGCAATATCATTGGCACTTGCTGACTACGTTTTGTATAGACTGTTACATATGATCACCTCTCTTTTAAAGTAATTGTCATTTTCACACAAAAAATTGCATTTTGCATTTCCTACTTTTAATAATCTAAAGCTATATTGTTAGAAAACTCTTCTTCTGCGTCCAGGCATGGCAATGAGTGGATTGTTGGTGTGCGCCCTCATGGCAGCGCTAGTGGGGGTTGGTTTGACATCGCCCGTGTCCAAGTCGGATGACAACACCAAACAGGGTGGGATACTGCCACAGCTACTGGCCAGGAGGGAGGCAGTGAGGAATGCTGCAGAGAACGTCGCTAGGCGGGAGCAAGACACTCAAATGAGCATGGCACGGATGGAGAGGATGGCGCACCTGTCGGAGGACCAGCGCGAGTTGATGTCCAAGCAAATCATACAGGCCATCTCAGGTACGTGGTGAGTGTGAGTGTGAGTGTGAGTGTAGGTGTGAGTGTGAGTGTAAGTGAGAGTGAGAGTGAGAGTGAGAGTGAGAGTGTGAGTGAGAGTGAGAGTGAGAGTGAGAGTGAGAGTGAGAGTGAGAGTGAGAGTGAGAGTGAGAGTGAGAGTGAGAGTGAGAGTGGAGTGAGAGTGTGAGTGAGAGTAGGAGTGAGAGTGAGAGTGAGAGAGAAAGAGAGACACCCACATCTACCGTGGCAAATGTGAAGTGTATCGTCGTTCGGTTGAGCACTTAAACGCACATTTAACTTTTCTGTTTGGTTCATATAAGTTTGTATTGTTCGCAGAGATGATGAACGAGTGTTAGGACCGGGACTACCAAGGATGGGTAGATTTTGGACGGCGGAGTGCAGAGTAGAGACGTACCACAAGCCAACTGAGGAACGTCTGCCTGCACTGGCGTTACTCAGGAATCCATCCCTATTTGAAATATATTGTATATAATCATTGGCTTACGTCATGACTTTTAATCCAAGTGTCATAATAAACACGTTTGCAGTATATACGTCTACAGGCATTTCTTGATTTCATTAGGACATGGGCCGGTTTCCACTAAGGACATGCGCTGGTTTCCCGGAAACAAAATCTACATTGAGTGTTCATTTTAGTTTAGGACAAGGCTTAATGTGTCCAGGAAACCGGCCCTTCGAGTAGAAAAATAACACACATGCACGTGTGTCTGATGGAAATAAAATGTACTTTTTAATTTACAGGTGGTACAATTTATAAACACATACAACTCAGTGATTATAACAAAGAATTCAGCAAAGAGTCCATTTCAACATCTGAAACATATGCATTGCTGTTTGGTTCATTTTCTTCCGACTATAAATTGTTATCATTTGCTATAATTTTCCCCTTTTGATCTGCAGTATCCTATGCCTTTTATATACAATTGATTGTCCAGACAGCCGAAAGAGCATCCCAAAAAAAAACATGCAGTCCATGATCATTTGGTTTTGTACCTTTCTTTTCTCGGGTGACACCTTGCTTGCATCTTTTTGTTTCTTCATTACATTTTACATTTACATTTTAGTCATTTAGCAGACGCTCTTAACCAGAGCGACTTACAGGAGCAATTAGGGTTAAGTGCCTTGCTCAAGGGCACATTAACGTCATTTAGCAGACACTCTTAGCCAGAGCGACTCACAAATTGGTGCGTTCACCCTATAGCCAGTGGGATAACCACTTTACAATTTGGGGGGGGGGGGGGGGGGGGGATTAGAAGGAATACTTTAGCCTATCCCAGGTATTCCTTAAAGAGGTGGGGTTTCAAATGTCTCCGGAAGGTGGTGAGTGACTCCGCTGTCCTGGCGTCGTGAGGGAGCTTGTTCCACCATTGGGGTGCCAGAGCAGCGAACAGTTTTGACTGGGCTGAGCGGGAGCTGTGCTTCCGCAGAGGAAGGGGAGCCAGCAGGCCAGAGGTGGATGAACGCAATGTCCTCGTTTGGGTGTAGGGACTGATCAGAGCCTGAAGGTACAGGGGTGCCGTTCCCCTCACTGCTCCAAAGGCAAGCACCATGGTCTTGTAGCGGATGCGAGCTTCAATTGGAAGCCAGTGGAGTGTGCGGAGGAGGGGGGTGACGTGAGAGAACTTGGGAAGGTTGAACACCAGACGGGCTGCGGCATTCTGGATGAGTTGTAGGGGTTTAATGGCACAGGCAGGGAGCCCAGCCAACAGCGAGTTGCAGTAGTCCAGACGGGAGATGACAAGTGCCTGGACCAGGACCTGCGCCGCTTCCTGTGTAAGGCAGGGTCGCACTCTCCGAATGTTGTAAAGCATGAACCTGCAGGAGCGGGTCACCGCCTTGATGTTGGCGGAGAACGACAGGGTGTTGTCCAGGGTCACGCCTAGGCTCTTCGCACTCTGGGAGGAGGACACAGCGGAGTTGTCTACCGTGATGGCGAGATCATGGAACGGGCAGTCCTTCCCCGGGAGGAAGAGCAGCTCCGTCTTGCCAGGGTTCAGCTTGAGGTGGTGATCCGTCATCCATACTGATATGTCTGCCAGACATGCAGAGATGCGATTCGCCACCTGGTTATCAGAAGGGGGAAAGGAGAAGATTAGTTGTGTATCGTCAGCGTAGCAATGATAGGAAAGGCCATGTGAGGATATGACAGAGCCAAGTGACTTGGTGTATAGGGAGAAAAGGAGAGGGCCCAGAACCGATCCCTGGGGGACACCAGTGGTGAGAGCACGTGGTGCGGAGACAGCTTCCCGCCACGCCACTTGGTAGGAGCGACCGGTCAGGTAGGACGCAATCCAGGAGTGAGCCGCGCCGGAGATGCCCATTTCGGAGAGGGTGGAGAGGAGGATCTGATGGTTCACAGTATCAAAGGCAGCAGACAGGTCTAGAAGGACAAGAGCAGAGGAGAGAGAGTTAGCTTTAGCAGTGCGGAGAGTCTCTGTGACACAGAGAAGAGCAGTCTCAGTTGAATGACCAGTCCTGAAACCTGATTGGTTTGGATCAAGAAGGTCATTCTGAGAGAGATAGCAAGAGAGTTGGCTAAAGACGGCACGCTCAATAGTTTTGGAAAGAAAAGAAAGAAGGGATACTGGTCTGTAGTTGTTGACATCAGTGGGGTCGAGTGTTGGTTTTTTGAGAAGGGGAGTAACTCTCGCTCTCTTGAAGACGGAAGGGACATGGCCAGCGGTCAAGGATGAGTTGATCAGCGAGGTGAGGTAGGGGAGAAGGTCACCGGAGATGGTCTGGAGAAGGGAGGAGGGGATGGGGTCAAGCGGGCAGGTTGTTGGGCGGCCTGCAGTCACAAGTCGCAGGATCTTATCTGGAGAGAGAGGGGAGAAAGAAGTCAAAGCATAGGGTAGGGCAGTGTGAGCAGGACCAGCAGTGTCATTAGACTTAACAAACAAGGATCGGATGTCGTCAACCTTCTTTTCAAAGTGGTTGACGAAGTCATCCACAGAGAGAGAGGAGGGGGGGGGGGGGGGGGGGGGGGGAGGATTCAGGAGGGAGGAAAATGTGGCAAAGAGCTTCCTAGGGTTAGAGGCAGATGCTTGGAATTTAGAGTGGTAGAAGGTGGCCTTAGCAGCAGAAACAGATGAAGAAAATGTAGAGAGGAGGGAGTGAAAAGATGCCAGGTCGGCAGGGAATTTAGTTTTCTTCCATTTCCGCTCCGCTGCCCGGAGCTCTGTTCTGTGAGCTCGCAATGAGTCATCAAGCCACGGAGCTGGAGGGGAGGACCGAGCCGGCCGGGAGGATAGGGGACACAGAGAGTCAAAGGATGCAGAAAGGGAGGAGAGGAGGGTTGAGGAGGCAGAATCAGGAGATTGGAGGGAGAAGGATTGAGCAGAGGGAAGAGATGATAGGATGGAAGAGGAGAGAGTAGTGGGAGAGAGAGAGCGAAGGTTGCGGCGGCGCATTACCATCTGTGTAGGGGCAGAGTGAGTAGTGTGGGAGGAGAGTGAGAGAGAAAAGGAAACAAAGTAGTGGTCGGAGACTTGGAGGGGAGTTGCAGTGAGATTAGTAGAGGAGCAGCATCTAGTGAAGATGAGGTCAAGCGTATTGCCTGCCTTGTGAGTAGGGGGGGACGGTGAGAGGGTGAGGTCAAAAGAGGAGAGGAGTGGAAAGAAGGAGGCAGAGAGAAATGAGTCAAATGTGGACATAGGGAGGTTGAAATCCCCCAAAACTGTGAGGGGTGAGCCATCCTCAGGGAAGGAACTTATCAAGGCGTCAAGCTCATTGATGAACTCTCCAAGGGAACCTGGAGGGCGATAGATGACAAGGATATTAAGCTTAAATGGGCTAGTGACTGTGACAGCATGGAATTCAAATGAGGAGATAGACAGATGGGTTAGGGGAAAAATTGAGAATGTCCACTTGGGAGAGATGAGGATTCCTGTACCACCACCCCTCTGACCAGATGCTCTCGGGGTATGCGAGAACACATGGTCAGACGAGGAGAGAGCAGTAGGAGTAGCGGTGTTTTCAGTGGTGATCCATGTTTCCGTCAGCGCCAGGAAGTCGAGGGACTGGAGGTTGGCATAGGCTGGGATGAAGTCAGCTTTGTTGGCAGCAGAACGGCAGTTCCAGAGGCTGCCTGCGACCTGGAACTCCACGTGGGTGGTGCGTGCAGGGACCACCAGATTGGAGAGGCAGCAGCCACGCGGTGTGGTGCGTTTGTGTAGCCTGTGCAGAGAGGAGAGAACAGGGATAGGCAGAGGCATAGTTGACAGGCTGTAGCAAATGGCTACAAAAATGCAGAGGAGATCGGAATGAAATGGGCTAAGCATCTGGGAGCGGAGAGAGCAGGGCCTCCCTCACCAAAACTTCTACCTCGGAAACTAAGATTGTTTCACTGAACCACCCGAAGAAAAAACTCTCCCAACTTCCGCCTTTGGAAATCAGAATTGTTGTGAACCACAGCGGTTCAATGTTTAAAGGAATAGACTCAACCCACTTTGTTCAGGTAGCCAACTATGACTCCATAGCCAACTAGCAGACTAGCATCCAATAACAATAACACACCGTTTAGCGCCAACACTTGGTCACAACAAACCACCAATATTGTGATAACACACTAAACAGATCATTCGTGTCTGTGTCAAGTTCCTTACATGACGCAGCAATGATTAGACGTTGGCTAGCTAGGACAAGTAAATTGTGGTTAGCTACTACAGTACAGCCAGATGGTCATGTTGGGTAGCTAGCAATGGCCACTGTGTCGACTCTGTTTGAAGAACGGCTAGCTAGCTAGCTTCGTGCTACAGCTGGCACGGCCGAGGACACTGCCAAGACACAGTAACTACCCACAACAACCCACGAAGCCTAGCTATGACGCCGCAGCCAACCTGCAAGCTAGCATCCATTAACACACAACTTAGCATCAACACCTGGCCACAACAAGCTGCCAAGAGTGTGTCAGCACACCAAACAGACAATTCAAGTCCGTGTCGAGTTCCCTTCACAACGCAGCAAAAAAAAAAATAATAATAATAATTAAACGTTGGAACCAGCTCTCCAGCGTTGCTAATCGTTACCAATAGCTACCCGCTAGCTAGCTAGCTTCGTGCCTCGATACTAACCCACAATTACCCACGGAAAGCTACAATAACAACAATACTAACCTACAATAAATACAATACCTAACTACAGCTAACTACCTACCTACGATCTAATACATGGTTAAGCAAAAGTTAAACGTTGGGTAGGACTACATTACCGTTGGAGCCAGCTCTCCAGCGTTGCTAATCGTTACCAATAGCTACCCGCTAGCTAGCTAGCCTCGTGCCTCGATACTAATCCACAATTACCCACGGAAAGCTACAACAACCACAATACTAACCTACAATAAATTCAATACCTAACTACAGCTAACTACCTACCTACGATCTAATACATGGTTAAGCAAAAGTTAAACGTTGGGTAGGACTACATTACCGTTGGAACCAGCTCTCCAGCGTTGCTGGTGGAACTACCCGCCCTCCAAGACACATACAGCACCCGATGTCACTTCATAAGGTATCCCACTCAGTACAATCACATTGGAGGAATTCACTTTGAATGCACAACTTCATTTTTTCATACAGCACACTTTCATTATTCCTTATGATATGAATAGCATTTGTACCAACAATACTTTAGTTTAAGGTCTGTTAACACAGATCCAGCACATAGACTAGTGTCGAGACCTTTTACTGTCCCCTTCTGTTGTCTTTGATACAACATGGTAGACTACCTGAATGCTTTTGGTGAGGTTCGAATAAATGCACAAGTTTACAATGACTGACATAATTGACAGCATTTCGAAGTAAAGCATTTTACAATGACTTGCAGCAGGTGATGTGTGATGCCATACAAACGCACAGTACTGCTAGTGCTAAATGAGGACATTTGGGAAAGAGCAGAGTAGTATACCTCAGTGAATGTCAATAATGTCACAAACTTTCAGTAAGTTCAGTCAGTGTATCAGTCTCTCCACCATTCTGTAATGGGGAGTGATTGAAGTGTTAGTGGTTTTACCACAGTAAAGTGAATGTGGTTAATACCCACAAATGCTTCATTTTCTAATAGCAGCTATATATTGCAAAAGGACATACTGAATTCCAGTGCATCTTGTTTTCTTTTAGTGTGACAAACTAACCGCTGTGGTCAGTTTGGTGGTTCTTAAAAAACGATACCTTGAATCTTTCCCAACATAATGAAAAGGTAATGTGATTGTATTTGAAGGTAAAAAATAAATTATATTTGAAAACATATGGTGGGGTTCTTTCTAAAAAAAAAAAACACCACGAGAAGCACCATTCCCTTACTTTCATACCGTGTAAAACCATCGACACGCACAAAACACAGGTAGAAAAAAGCAACGCATGTTTCTCATCTTTTTATTTTATTAAAAAACAAAAACCCGCAAGTGTTCAAGCCAGCCGGAGCGTTGATCAGGTGATTCTCCTGAGAATGATCATGATGTCACACATTGTCGTGGAGACCTAGTATCTACAATACATGAGTCCATTACAAAAAGAAGAGTGACTGTACACGTAACATAAACTCCAAATATGGCTCTATGGTTCTTCCGAGGCTCCATTTTACAATGTATTGCTGTGGGCCCGAAACACAAAATGGCGGAACGTTGGCATAGCCAGCATGTGGGTTGAAGTCAATGACGATTGAGGAGGAACGGGAGAAGGAGGGGGGAGGGAGTTCTCCCAGTTGTTCTCAGACTCTAGGTGGATGTCTGTATTGCCTTGACTGCTTCTCTCTCCTCTCCGTTCTCTCTGTTTGTTCAAGGATCTAGCGTGGGGGTATGATCAATAGATTTACTTAGGGGTTGGGTGGGGTCAGAGTTAGAAGGGGAGTGGTTTAGAAAAGTTAGGGGATAAATATATACATTCCCAATCTGTCCATGCCTGTTGGCTCTTACTTTGCCTACTTTAGAGCTGAAGAAAGTGCTTGGACCAGCCTTTCTTACCACTGAGGAGAGAGGGATTGAGTAAGGGAGGAGAGAGAAGGACTGCTATACACACAAAGTAGCAAGGTACTTTTGAGGAGAAAAATGGGGCGGCACAGCAAAGCTGTAGTCATATTGTAAATACCTTTTCACGTTACTACTAATGACTAATTACTAATATTGGTCTTTCGTTTAATGAATGAATGAATGAGTTAAGGATTGAATGAATACCAAAAGGCAAATTACTGAAAAATAAATGGATTCCACTTTATTTTACAGTCCACTACCTGGGGATAAAAGGCAGAATCTACCGCACACCCAAAACCGATTAGTGAAGGTGCTGGAGGCAAAATGGAAAACTGGAGAAACAGGGAAAAGTCTCTGCACACTTCCATTCAGATGCAAATGTCATTGAAATGAATCCAAAGCAACATAAGTAATTACCAGGTAGTGGACTGTTGAAGGTCGACTGACCAAAACCTCAGCTACTATTAAAACACCATTGCATACGATTTAGTACCAGGTAGTTACCTATTATTTTGACGTCTTTGACGAAACTTCCAGGAAGTATTCATTGCCACCATATATACGTCCTTAGTAAATACCAGACAAACTTTTTGCACTTGACTGTATGCTGCTCTCTTGGCCAGGTCTCCCTCGAAAAAAATATATGAACAAATATAGATTTAAATAAAGCATACATAAAATCAAATGTGAAACCGGACTGTAAAAACTGACAGTCGAGTTACTGCATACCTAATATCTCAGATAACACACACAGGGTCTCCCCCTCACTCCTCACCTTCCAGGGGCTTGACAATCTGCAGGCGATTGGGTAGGTTGGAGCGCAAGCCCCCCGATCCGGCCGAGGAGTGCAGCGAGCTGCCATTGGAGTAGTTGGTGCCTGTCAAAGCCACCGAGCTGGAGACCAGGCTGTCCCCTCAAAGAAGGGGAGCTCTGAGACATGGCTCTGCTGGCAGTGAGATAAACAGTGGAGTGCGGCTTTTAGGTCCTGGCCTCCAGGCATGCCCAGACGCTTAGGGCCACTAACACTGAAATCAGAGAGAGATAAAGGAAGGTTAGTGATAGACTATACACTGTTGATGCACAAACACTCAGAGTAGAGGTAGAATAGGTGTTGAATACAAATGCACTGCTGTTATTAGTACACATAGACCAGAGAAATAGAAGCTGTATGTTTGAACATGTACGAGTGACAGAAGTCCATTAATATACTAATATTTCACTGTTTGTCTACGCCTGTTGTCTGCAAAGCATGTGACAAATAAAATTAGATTTTATTTAATTTGAAAAAGAAATACTCTGTGTATCTGTCTGTGTAGACTCTGTATGAGAGTTAATGTAATTCACACATATACACTGTTGCCAGTCTCACCTGTTGTCCCACCTCTGCCAGCCTCGATATGGCACTAGGTGGTTTGTCCTCCAAGGTGAGGCTGGTGCTGTCTGAGCCGTAGTAGCTGGTACGGGGGAGTGGAGGCGCGGCTGGAGCGCGGCGACATGGGGCTGGAGCCGGGCACCTGGCCGGGGGAGTGGCACCGCGACCGCAGCCTCGACACTTGGTTCACCACCTTCACCGTCTCAAACATGCGCCACGGGTGGTTCCTTTGGCAACCATAGATAAACCATATAGATTAGTGGTGGTGATGAAGTGCCCGTTAATAAGTCTAACATGTATATGTTTATGTCAGTGTATTTGTGCTTGAATATTAGATTTTAAACATTGTATTTGAAATATTCTATATTTTGGATCAATAGATGTGCTTGTTATGTCATGCAGTTTTTGTTCAATCAAACATACTTGGTAACATTTCACCTTTGGCACATAACTGACATACCGGTATTGTCATTCGACTGAGCTTAACAGGTTGGAAAAAGCACATTGTCAACGGTGTTTCATGCTTTCACATTGACATCATCACTCACTTGTACTTGGAGGGGGAAGGGACGTCCAGGCCCTTGCGGAAGGTGCCCTCTATCTCTGCTGCCAGGGAGTCACCGCCACCTCCAGTCCCATCAATGTGGATAGGGGGGTGCAACGCCCAGCCAACACCGCCCCCAAAAACAAAGGAGATGATCGTGGACTTCAGGAAACAGCAGAGGGTGCACCCCCCTATCCACATCGACAGGACCGCAGTGGAGAAGGTGGAAAACTTCAAGTTCCTTGGCATACACATCACTGACAAACTGAAATGGTCCACCCACGCAGACAGTGTGGTGAAGAAGGCACAACAGAGCCTCTCCATCCTCAGGAGGCTGAAGAAATTTGGCTTGGCACCTAAAACCCTCACAAACTTTTACAGATGCACAATTGAGAGCATCCTGTCGGGCTGTATCACCTCTTGGTACGGCAACTGCACCACCCGCAACCTCAGGGCTCTCCAGAGGGTGGTGCGGTCTGCCGAACACATTACCGGGGGCAAACTACCCGCCCTCCAGGACACCTACAGCACCCGATGTCACAGGAAGGCCAAAAAGATCATCAAGGACATTAACCACCCAAGTCACTGCCTGTTCAACCCGCTATCATCCAGAAGGTGAGGTCAATACAGGTGCATCAAAGCTGGGACCGAGAGAATGAAAAACAGCTTCTATCTCAAGGCCATCAGACTGTTAAATAGCCCTCACTAGCACATTAGAGGCTGCTGCTGCCTATTGAAATCACTGGCCACTTTAAGAAATGGAACACTAGTCACTTTAATAATGTTTACATATCTTGCATTACTCATCTCATATGTATATACTGTATTCTATAATAGTCTACTGTTTCTTAGTCCATGCCGCTATGTCATTGAAAATACTATTGAATTCCATTCCATTTGTGTGTATTGGGTATATGTTGTGAAATTGTTAGATATTACTTGATAGATATTATTGCACTGTCGGATCTAGAAGCACAAGCATTTCGCTACACCTGCAATAACATCTGCTAAACACGTGTATGTGACAAATAAAATTAGACTTGATTTGATTTGATTTAGCGCTACACCGTGCTGTTGGGCAGGCTCTTGTTGCGCAGGTTCTTAATGTCCTCTCTGGCCTCCCGTAGCATGTCCTCGCACTCTGAGTACTTGTCTTGTAGGTAGTTTAGCTGCAGCCAGGGAGTGCCAGAGGTCAGTTAAATACACACTGCTACCGAGGTTATGTACAATCTTGCCTTGAGGGACATATCTAGGATCAGCTTAGCCTCCTCAAATCCCAGCAACTTTATCCTACTTGTTATTGATAGCTCATTGGAGGGTAATGAGTTGTGGATAGTGGGGAAAGTGTGAGGTGGGTCTTATCTCTGATTTGAGCTGTGATTGGCTCTCCCGCAAGGCACTCATGTGCTGGGTCAGCTCTTTGTTGTCAGTGGTGAGTGGAGAGTTAATACCATGATCGTATCAGTGATACTGTATACCAACTTGATACTCTACACTGCCTTGCAAAAGTATTCATCCCCCTTGGCGTTTTTTCCTATTTTGTTGCATTTCAATCTGTAAATTAAATGGATTTTTATTGGGATTTCATGTAATGGACATACAGTTGAAGTCGGAAGTTTACATACACCTTAGCCAAATACATTTAAACTCAGTTTTTCACAATTCCTGACATTTAATCCTAGTAAAAATTGCCTGTCTTAGGTCAGTTAGGATCACCACTTTATTTTAGGAATGTGAAATGTCAGAATAATAGTAAAGAGAATTATTTCTTTCAGCTTTTATTTCTTTCATCACATTCCCAGTGGGTCAGAAGGTTACATAAACTCAATTAGTATTAGCTAGCATTGCCTTTAAATTGTTTAACTTGAGTAAATCGTTTCAGGTAGCCTTCCACAAGCTTCCCACAATAAGTTGGGTGAATTTTGGCACATTCCTCCTGACAGAGCTGGTGTAACTGAGTCAGATTTGTAGGCCTCCTTGCTCGCACATGCTTTTTCAGTTCTGCCCACAAATGTGTTATAGGATTGAGGTCAGGGCTTTGTGATGGCCACTCCAACACCTTGACTGTGTTGTCCTTAAGCCATTTTGCCACAACTTTGGAAGTATGCTTGGGGTTATTGTCCATTTGGAAGACCCATTTGCGACCAACCTTTAACTTCCTGACTGATGTCTTGAGATGTTGCTTCAATATGTCCACATAATTTTCCTTCCTCATGATGCCATCTATTTTGTGAAGTGCACCAGTACCTCCTGCAGCAAAGCACCCCCACAGCATGATGCTGCCACCCCCGTGCTTCACGTTTCGGATGGTGTTCTTCGGCTTGCAAGCCACCACCTTTTTCCTCCAAACATAATGATGGTAATTATGGCCGAACAGTTCTATTTTGGTTTCATCAGACCAGAGGACATTTCTCCAAAAAGTACGATCTTTGTCCCCATGTGCAATTGCAAACCGTAGTCTGGCATTTTTATGGAGGTTTTGGAGCAGTGGATTCTTCCTTGCTGAGCGGCCTTTCAGGTTATGTCGATATAGGACTCGTTTTACTGTGGATATAGATACTTTTGTACCTGTTTCCTCCAGCATCTTCACAAGGTCCTTTGCTGTTGTTCTAGGATTGATTTGCACCAAAGTACGTTAATCTCTAGGAGACAGAACGCGTCTCCTTCCTGAGCGGTATGACAGCTGCGTGGTCCCATGGTGTTTATACTTGCGTACTATTGTTTGTACAGATGAACGTGGTACCTTCAGGTGTTTGGAAATTGCTCCCAAGGTTGAACCAGACTTGTGGAGGTCTACAATTTTTAGACTGAGGTCTTGACTGATTTCTTTTGATTTTCTCATGATGTCAAGCAAAGGGGCACTGACTTTGAAGGTAGGCCTTGAAATACATCCACAGGTACACCTCCAATTGACTAACATGATGTCAATTAGCCTATCAGAAGCTTCTAAAGCCATGACATCATTTTCTGGAATTTCCCAAACTGTTTAAAGGCACAGTCAACTTAGTGTATGTAAACTTCTGACCCACTGGAATAAGTGAAATAATCTGTCTGTAAACAATTGTTGAAAAAATTACGTGTCATGCACAAAGTAGATGTCCTAACCGACTTGCCAAAACTATAGTTTGTTAACAAAAAATGTGTGGAGTGGTTGAAAAACAAGTTTTAATGACTCCAACCTAACTGTATGTAAACTTCCGACTTCAACTGTAGTTTCCGTCCTCCTTTGGGTACGTTGACTTCAATACAAAACCTAGGAGGCTCGTGGTTTTCACCCCTTTCCATAGACTTATACAGTAATTATGACAACTTCCAGAGGATTTCCTTCAACCTATCAGAGATCTTGTAGCATGAACTGAAATGTTGTCCACCGAATCAAAGGATCAAAGAATGAATCTAGTACTGAAAGCATTAGCAACAGCTAGCTTGCACTGCTTTCTTCAAAAATGAGAGGGAGAGAGCTATATGTATTTCGTTGTATTTTTTGTTGTAAATTCGAGCATCATGTAGAACCCTAAACCTATCGTTGTTACATTGAACTTGGTGAATGGAATATGAATGACAGTCATCCAAAATGCTGTAATAGTAATAAGGCCATGCTCATTAAAAAGATAGTTGTCCTCCCTCATCTTAAACGGCACCGACCGCCACTGCTGTAAGGATGTTTCTTTCAGCTTTTTAGAGGACAACAACACACCCACAATTATGATATCAGTGTCCTGAAATGTATCATGCAGCGTCGGTGTCGTAAACCTACAGAACATGAACTTTAAACCCGTCATAGAGTACAGAGAACGTTCATTGCTTGTGATCCTGTGAGTTTACAATGGAGCTAAAATAGCTTTATAATGGCTGATGATGCAAGTAATATTTTCCCTGATGTCACTTATGTAACTGTAATAATCTGTTTCCACTTTTAATTGGGCTGGCCAAAAATGTTTAAATGAAAGAAAT